ACTTGATGGCACATAACAACAACAGCATTATCTAGGAATTGGTATATATATATATAATTCAGTGATTAAAAATGTTGGAGAGGGATTATATATGACTATCATATTTATATTATTTGGGAATATAAACTTTTACCAGCCACTAGACTAAAAGCTCCATTAAGTCACCAGGTCTTTTTAGGGTTTATATTTTTTAACCATAGTAACCTCAGTTCCTCCCATAGTGCCTGACACATGGTAGATGCCTGGTAAATATTTGGTCAATGAATGGAAATTTTATTAACAGAAGAAAAACCATAATTTAAATAAAATAACCTTGGTAGTATGTTGTAAATTATTGAAATAGCCCACGTTTATAGGCAACACAAACCACTTGAATGTCAGTCTCTACAAGCAAATTTTTGGAGGATTATGTCTATATCTGCTTTAGTAATAGGAATAAGTATTCCAATGTGAGCTACAAGTCATATCTATTTATAAATAAAATTATAGGCCAAAAATTGCCTGTACAGCCTGTAGATACTACTAAAAAAAAAGCCCAGACCTAGTGCCGTTGAGTCAATTCCAACTCATAATGATCCTAAAGTACAGAGTAGAACTGCCCCATGGGGTTTCCAAGGCTGTAAATCTTTACAGAAGCAGACTCCCTCATCTTTCTCCCATAGGTAGGTTCAAACCTTTTGGATAGCAGCTGAATGCTTTAACCACTGTGCCACCAGAGCTCCTAGCCTCATGTAGATATTTAAGTTAATTAAAATTAAATAAAATTAAAAATTCAATTCTTTATTGAGAGTACCCACATTTATAGTATTTAATAGGTATATTGGACAACACAATCATAGAACATTTTCATCATTGCAGAAAATTCTGTTGGACAGTGCCACCTATAGATACTAATGTATAGAGATTATAAAATGGGTTACATCAAACTGAATAAATTAAAGATAAGCCAACAATGTTTGTAATTAGAAAGGAATTAAAGCAGTTGAAAACATAACCAATATCAGGTGACACTGATGATGCACCAGTAACAGAGCACCCTGTCCCAACCATCTGCACTTCTATGTGCACATTAAACTCTTGGACCACATAGCATCCAGACCTAGTAAAATGCTGATAAAGAGTCCTTCGGAAGCTCTGGCACTAGTGGGCAAGGGACCATGCTTTTGAGAATTCAGATTTAGGTTAACCTCTTCATTTCACGTATGGGAAGACGGAGGCCTAGAAACGCCTCCCCTGTCTTGGCTCATGGGCTAAATCTGGCCTACACAGTTGTTTTGAGCTGCACAGTGTTTTAATGTAAAATTGGTTTATAAATTTGGATTTCCAGTATCTTGAAACCTCTAAAGTCAGGTAGTGTGGGCCACATTCCTACTTAGTGATAGTTGACCAGAGCCGAGTAAGGGGACTGTGGTAAACTGTCAGGGTTCCCTCTCCAGCCCCCTCTCTATATTGCCTGCCTAGTCCTTACAGGTATTTGAGCCATTGTCCCCACACCTACTTCTCTCATGTCAAAATAAAGAACAACTCTCTATCCCCAGGGTTCCTTCAGAGTTTTAGCTGATGCTTCTTTTCTAGGACAATTCCATGAAGCTTCTCGGTATGTTGTCTGTGGAAGAAAACTAATTTTATTGCATACCTTTTGGGCATTGGACATTTTAGAAATATTCATTTATTTAATCTTTCTAGCACCTCTTGGAGTAGGTAGTATTATTCCCTAGGAAGCTGAGGCTCAGAGAGGTTAAGAAACTTCCTTTGTCAAAAAGTAAAGTAAAGTAGTGGAGCTAGGATTCAAATTTAAAACATGGTGAACACTACAGAATTGCAAATGAACTAACTCTGAGTTTGATTCTTTGTTCTTACAACTCTTCTATAGCTTTGCCAGAATATCTTCAAGAATTCTTGATTTCTCATCTCTTATACCCGTTAGTGGGAGCTCTGGTGGTGTAGTGCCTAAGGCATTTGACAACTAACCAGAAGGCTGGAGGTTCAAACCCACCAGCCACTCCTTGGAAGGAAGATTGGGTAATCTACTTCCGTAGAGATACCACCCTGGAAACCCAAGGAGGGGTTGCTATGAGTCAAAATTGACTCAATGGCAGTGAGTTTGGTGGAGTTTGGTTGTATCCCCTAGTATGTGGCAGGGGGTGGTGTATATTTGTGAGAGGGGGTGGGGAGGTGTGCAGAGAAGATACAAGTACACTTTATTTTATAAATAACCAATACTGATTAGGAACATAATCTGAACTTACACAATAAGAGAAACTCAAAGGTGATAAAATACATAGTTCTTACCATCAGAGATTATCTAGACTGGGTGAAGAAGTAAGTGGTACTTACATAAAAAGTAAAATGATAGTATAATATCAGGTGCATGGACCAAAGAAGTCAGGGAGGAATAACTGCAGTGTGTACTGTCATGGTGGAGAGGCTTTAGGAGAGAGGGGAATCGGATGAGACCTGTAACGGACAGTTGTGAACAAGGTTTCCAGGAGGGCAGGCTGAGCTGAAAATTGTGGCATGCAGTAAATGACTCCTGTGTCTAGTGTGAAACACATTTCTCTTACTATAGGAAGCACGGTGCCTACATCTAGCAAGATAGCCCATTTGGAGCAGAAAAAGGAGCCGTGGACCATCGGTCTTCATTCTTCTAATAAGAGGAACATCCTGCGAAGCAACTATGTCAAAGAAAAGTCAGTTCCTGCTGTTCAGATCCCTACAAGAAATGCAGGAAAAACGTGGCGAGAGCAGCAACAGTGGGGTTTAGAAGATGAAAAAATTGCAGGTGTACATTGGAGCTATGAGGAAACTAAGACTTTTCTTGCAATTCTCAGAGAGTCCCACTTTTATGAAACACTTCAGGCTTGTCCCCGAAACAGCCAGGTATATGGTGCTGTGGCTGAGTGGTTGCGGGAATGTGGCTTCCTCCGAACACCAGAGCAGTGTCGGACCAAGTTCAAAAGTCTCCAGAAGAGCTATCGAAAAGTGAGAAATGGCCACGTGCTCGAACCCTGTGCCTTCTTTGAGGACATGGATGCTTTGTTGAATCCCGCAGCCTATGCTTCAGCCACAGATAAGCCAAAAGAGATGACCTCTCTCCCCAGACTAAAGAGGCTCGTTATCAGTAGTAAAGAGCGGATCAGTTTGGTAGAGGAGGAGGAGGCAGCAGAAGAATCTGATGGTGAAGAAATGGGCATTGAATTCGTCCGGAAATCTGAAATTCGCGGTGCCCCTGTTTTGTTTCAAAACCTGAGTGGTAAGATTTGTGCTTTTTTTCTGAGGACATTCCTCTGCTTACAGAAATGGACAGATAAGTAAGTGACCAAACCTGGGGAGTACCATTACATACCCCTTGCCACTGACCATTATGATAAAGTCATATCACTGGAAGTATTCTAGGTTATTTGTTGTTGCCCCTGTACAGAGTAGCTAATAGACTGAGGGGCTGTGGTGGTTTTGTGTATTATCAGTTTAGAGCTCAGCATGAATTTTGAGTACTTTGGGCCTAGGAAGGAAGATAAATAAAATTAAAGGGTTGTAAGGGTCTAGCAGGGAGCTCTGGTAGCATAGTGGCTAAGGCACTTGACTGCTATCCAGAAGGCTGGCGGTTCAAACCCACCAGCCACTCCTCGGAAGGAAGATAGGGCAGTCTACTTCCATAGTGATACTGCCTTGGAAACCCAAGGAGGGGTCGCTATGAGTCGGGTCTAACTTGATGGCACATAACAACAACAGCATTATCTAGGAATTGGTGTAAACTAAATCAGTTCTATTAAATTGTAATAAATCAAGAATGCATTGTTAAATTCTCTATGATAGTAAAAGAATGTGTAACTAACAAGTGAAAAAAGTATTAATGAAAATTTCTGATTTAAAGAAGACTAGAAAGGAGAAAAAAAGGAACATAAAATAGAGGAGTCGAATGGAAAGCAAATAGCAAGATAGTAGACCTAAGTCCAAATATGTCATTAATTATAAACTTAAAAGACAGAGATTGTCAGACATCTTTTAAAAATTTCTTATAAGAGATATATCTTAAATATAAGGACAGAGAAACTACTAGTTAATACTGTGTGACAGTAGACACATGATGTAACCACTTCAGTTTTCTCATCTGTAAAATAGGACTAAGAATTCTCCACAGGGTTGTTGTAGTGTTAAGTGGGGTAGCATAGATGAAGGCACTTTGCAAATGCTAAAAATGTTGCCTGGTTTCACTGTTACTAGTAATGTTTTCCTACTTTAGCTCGTGAAAAGATGATAGGTTTTGAGATAAAACAGAAAAATAAAGCAGACTGAGAGCTGGGAGTGTGCTCATGACTATACGTATTTCAAGTGAAATGTGAAAAAGATGCAACCTGGAAATCCGTGGATGTGAGGGTGGGACTCTTAGAATGACCTATGAGAAAAGACCACCCAGTGAGAGGATGGATTTTCCTATGGCAGATTACAAAAAGGATATTTAACACTGTTTAGATGTGACCCAAACAAGTTTTATTCTGCTGTGAAAGCAGAACATCTGCTTGTCTTGCAGATCATTTAGTCTCTCACAGTAGAGGAGTCAGTGGCCAACACTTTGGACATATTTCTCCTCTTCAAGGAAAGTTGGTTAAAGAAGTGATAGTAACTTTGGGAGAAAATGTTCTTACTGGGTGTCATAGTCCAGTAATCTCGACCATTTCAAAAGGATACTTCTAAACAGCTAAATCCTTTAGTTAATTACCATAGGAATGGCACATTTGGAGACAGTTGCTGCAGTTGTACTCTTCCTTAAGTTTAGCTTATCAATTTAAATAAAAAAATCCTATTGGGATTTTTGTATTTTCATTTTATAGATTCATTTGAGACTTGATATGTATAAAACTGGACTATTCCTATCCATAAATACAGCATCTCTCTCTATTTTTCTTTTAGTTCTTTTATGTATTTCAATAAAATACAGATTTTTTATATAGACATCATTTCTTGCTAAGCTTATTCCAAGGTATATCAGAGTTCTTACTGCTGCGTTGTTGTTGTTGTTGTTTGCCGTCGAGTCGGCCCCGACTCA